CTGAATGTTTATGATTAGATTACAAGAGAGATCTTTGCTGATCTATCCAGTAGTTAATGTATATACAGGAAAGCTGTTATCTGATACTTTACCAATGGAACATTTTGAACACCCAATGCAAATCTTAACTCCACTAGACTACTACACCAAATTCCCTACTCACACAACACTGGACCACAATAAGACTAATAACATGCCTATGTGTAGGGTGGTAAAATAACAGAAGGGGAGGGAAATAAGAGGAATTATCACTGAGTCATAGGAATTAACTCTTAATTAATAAAGCACTTTCCCACTATGCTGGACTAAGGGGGAAAAAAGCTTTTACTGTGTTATTAAATCCTATGGAGGAAAACAAAGCAAGTAACTTGGTATAATAGGTTACTTTGCATAGTATCTCTTGGTACCAAGGGAATGTGTGGAAATCATTCCCATTAAGTAAAGGATTTCCAGAGAGGACTGAGAAAAGTAAGATAGGTATAACTTTTCTTTGTGCTACCCTAAAGTCATTAACTATAAAAAGTTAAACACTTCTCTTTTCAGTTACATCATATTTAAAATAGCAAAAATGTTTTTCCTAGGACAATTTTATATACATAAATATAACAATGAAGAAAAAAGATCTAGGAAGTGACACTGCTAATGCAAATTACTGAGGAAATTTGGATTCACTCAATAAAGAAATTGATTAAAATGATAATTTAAAATATACTAAGGTCCCCCACAAATCACCTTCCCCAACAAATGCATCTTCAAAGAAAAGCTTCTGCTTGGGCCAGAACAACCTCACAGAATCATTAAGACAACATAAAGTGAAGGATTAAATATTCCATATTATAAATAATTTACTAAGGTTTCTTGAAGCCCATACTTTCCATTTAAATTAATTTGTGGTTTAAAAAGAAATTACACCTGTAAAAAAAAAAAAAAAAGCCTGAAAAAAAAAAAAAAAAATGCAAAAAAAAAAAAAAAAAACAAAAAAAAATACAAAAACAAGATAAAAAATTTTCACTGACAGAAACATTTTCCAAACTTTTCACTACATACTAATTTAGAGGTCATGAATATTTAACTTTTTTCTTCTTAAATTATGCAAGGTGCTTTTTTTGTGGGGGTGGGAAGGCTTCATTTAGGACAAAAATAATGCTACATTAGTTTATTATATTCCATTCAGAACCATTTGGACAAAGGAAAAAGGTATAGGTAACTCTGAAAAGAACAAATGTAACATTGGGCTTTTACCAAAAAGAAGGAAAAAAGGGAAGTCACTTGAAAGTCTAACACTATGCTTGTTTTGAATCATGTAGTACTATAAGGCAAAACATCTTCCTTTGATAATTAAACCTTTCTTTTCTCTCTAGAGTAAACAAATTAGAAAGGAAACAGGAAAGACAGCATAATTGAATCATGTTAAAGTAAGGACAGTTGGCTAATATCATGATTTATAAATTGTTAATAAAGGATCAAGAATTAGGCCAGTCAGGTGGTGTGGTGGTTAAGGTGGCTGGATCCCACATGGCTGTCTGGGCAGTACAAGTCCTGGACTTGGTGGTTTGAAACACATGCTGGGTACATATGAATGTGTGTCCAAAATCCAGAGAGGTGAGTGGAGGAGACGGGATTGTGGCATGGTCGTCCTCCCAGGGGGTGCTTTCTCACTTCTCTCTCCCTTTCCTTCTCTATCTCTCTCTGGCAAGTTAGGTACCCTAGAGAAGATCTAAAATAAATAAATAAATAAAAATAATTTTTAAAAATTCAATTAAGTTAGTGAATTATAGTAAAAACAATGCACATGACAGATTCCTACATTTTGTTAATGTTTCAGTAAGGGGTTCCATCATAAAGTTGAACTGTGAAATTATCTAAAAATGTAATACATAGGAAGGAAAATGAAATTTTAGAAAACCTTAAGAAATTGTTATAAATTACCCAAGATTCATGAACAATCCCCCCAACTTGTATTTTGTTTAAAGTAATATATGATACAAATAAATTTCAAGTATCAAAAGTGTATTATTACAGTAATACCACTTTGCAACTTCAGAATTCTTGGTTTATAATAAAACTGTGAAGTGTGTATATGTGTGTATATGTTTAAATAAATAAAATCGTTGGTCTTATCCATTGCAGAAGTCCAGCATCTTAAAATGATGCTCAACAAGTTGCAGAGGGACAAGTCTGGAAGCAACATACAAACTGAAAAGAAACTACTTGTGTTTTTACCATTTTACATTATTATCATCTCCAGTATTTTTTCTTATCCAAATACGAACTCACACCTTGCTTGAGCCAGCCATTCTGTGCAGTTGCCATTTGCATGTTTCCAATATCATCATATTCTTTATGTGTTCTCTTCAAACTATCTGTGGTACCAGAATGAACAGATAATGATCATTCCATCTGGAGTGGCATCAATACAGACATCATCTGTACTGTTAGTTTTGCTAAATGGATGGCTCCATATTCCTGAAGTTGATGGACAAATCCAGCATGAGGATTAAAACAAAATCTTTTTTGAACATAAGCAAATGCATCTCTGTACTTCATTCCAAATGCTTCCATAACAATATGCAATAACCAAGGCAGCACTTCTGGAGATCCCTGCATTTCCATGGACGAGAACTGTTCCTTCAGTTTGTAAGCACCCATCAATAACTTTTGTTG